GAACTCCTTCTCTGACATTTCATCAACTTTGCTGTCCATGGGTTCTGTTATTATAGTGTCCTGGTTTGTTTGGGGGCACTAAACATGTTGTCTATGTGTTTTTTCATGTTGTCTATGTGTCTTCCTTTCTTGTAGTGTGGATTTGAGATATTACAGTTTGTACCCTATATTCTTGTAGTACCCATGCATATTGTCTGTACCTCACCTTGATGTTGGGCTCCCAGGCCCTGCTGGTGTCCCTCAATGTATGCTACTGCAACTAAAGATGGTGGCAGCAATAGCCGAGGTAACTCGAGATAATAGTTGAGGTGCCCCAAGATGGATGCAGTGTCTTACAGAGATGGGTCTGAAAGGGTGGGCTTTATACTGACTTTGGGATGCCTACTCTGAGATGCAGCTGCTTCTAGGCCCTGTCTTTTGTCAAAAAGCAGGGGCTACTTCATCGGGAATGCTATGGTGGTGTCTGCAGTATCCCAGGATGAAGTGGGTTAGGCTAGGGCTCCAGGTGGGAGGGGGTGAACTTGGACCTACCCTGGGCCTGGATCCCACGTATGTCCGTTGTGGTCTTCTGGCCAGAAGAGGTGTTCCTGTGCCAGAGCCTGAGCTCCTGCGGGTGTCTGCTGGTGGCAGGATAGACCTGGATCTACTGTGAGCCTGGGTCCCACACACAGGGTCGGTGTGGGAGGATGTGGGCCGGAGCTGGGCCCTCCCCAGCCCTTTTTAATTATTTATTTTTTTTGAGACAGGGTCTTGCTAAGTTGCTTAAAGCTAGCTCAGTACCTATTCTTGTGTCAATCCTCAGGTTCAATGTCAGAGGATATTCCTTGATTATCCCTGTAACTTATATCCCTTCACTGTATCTTAAAGTAACTTCTTTTTTAAAATGTAGATGAGTGGTTCTCAACTGAGGATAATTTCACGTTTTGACATTTGACAATATCTGGTGATACATTATTATGCCAAGGACAGCATTAAAGAATGATCTAGTCTAAACTGTCAGTAATACTGAGTTGATCAACTCTGCTTTAGTTCATATACAATGAATTAGATATATAGATGTGTTTGGATATTCAACATCTGTCTTTTCTAGTAGACTTTATAATCCATAGGCATGAGATAATGTCTATTTTGTTTACACTTAGTATCCAGTATCTCAGTGCCTGATGCCAGTTAGGTGGACAATAAATATTTGTTAAATAAAGGTTGAAATAATGGGCAGGAGGAAAGAAGAAAGGGAAAGCCCTTTGTAAGGAAGGTATACAAACATTTCAGGGTATAGGAGATACTGTCAATGTCCTGCCTGTACTTCATACAGCCTGTGCCATTTAAGTGCATATTTTCCTGACTTTCAAATGTCGGAACCTGTATTTCTTTGTATGAGGCCTTTTACTAGGTCAACAAAGCCCACTCTGTCTAAGAATATGACATCCCAAAATGATGGGGCATTGTCTGCCTCTGGAAGGTCTATTTTCTACAGCGTTCCCTGAAGTTCTTCAGTAACATTAGTCTATTTAATAATAAGCACTTTGTTAACCTCCTTCTTTTCTCTGTCTCAATTCCTCACTCCCCTGCCAGAGTTTCCTGGAACAGTTCACGTGGTAGGCTGAATAATGACGCCCCCCAGATGTCTAGATTCTTGCTCTTATAAATGATACCACATGCGGCAAAAGAATTCAGAGGTACAGTTAAAGTTGTTGAGATGGGAGAAATGTTCTACAATCAGATAGAACCTAAATGTAATCACACTTGTCCACATAAAAGGGAGGTCCAGGTAGATTTGATGCAGAAGGAAATATGGCCACTGAAGCAAGATGCTAATGATTCTGGCTGTGAATTATAGCATCCATAGAAAACTAGTGTATCTTTTGGTACTAGATATACGTTACTGCTCTAAGAAATATCTAAAACCACACAAGTACTTTTGGAATTGAATAATGGCTGAGCACAGTAAAGAAAGCCAATATTGTCTTAGAGAATTCCTAAACTATCATACCCAGACAATTGATACATGAATATATGAGTCTGATAGGTGTTGTGGGTAAAGGCTTAGAAGGAAATCAGGAACAAAATATTGGAAATTGAAGAGGGGACGGGTGTCCTGTCAGTGTTTGGCCCATACTAGTGCACAGAAATCTTAGCTGAATTGTACCCAACAGTTATGTGAAAAGTAGAACTTGAAAGTGGTGAATTTGGATATTTAACTGAGTAACTTTCCAAACAAAATATCAAAGTGTTGAAGACATGGACTCTTTCTCCCCTCACAACCCCTGCTTGCTGCTTATAGTAAAATGTTAGAAGAAGAACATAAAAATGAGGGAAGAATTGTTAAGCAGAAAGGAACCAGGATTTGATCCTATGATAAAGTCTCAGCCTATCCACATTCTAAAAGACATCGAAATGAAAGGATTCACTGTCAGGAAAGCATCCTCTGGAGATGAAATCAAGGGTATGACTAGACATCCTTTTGCTAGTGCCCTTGAGGAAATCGAAAGGTCAAAGTATTCAGCCAGGTATGGTGATGCACACCTGTAATCTCAGCCATTTGGGAGGCTGAGGCAGGAGGATCACAAGTTTGAGGCCACTCTTAGCAACTTAGCAAGGCCCTAAGCAAATTAGTGAGACCCTATCTCAAAATAAAAAGTAAAAAGGGCTGGGAGTGTGGCTTAGTGGTTAAGTGCTCCTGGGTTTAATCCCCACTATCAATAAATAAATAAATAAGAAAAATATAAAAAGACCAAAGTATTCAGTCACAGAGGATGAATGAAGAGATGTGGGGTGTGCTTCTCAACAGAAGCAAAGAATAGAGATGGAATTTTCCATGAAGGATCTATGAAGGAACCTCCCGTCCAATGCCATGAATTCCCATGACTTGCAGGGAAGACCTGTAAGTTTTTGAGAATGTTATATCAGCAGAAACAATGCTAGCTTATATTGAAAGGAACCAATGGAGGATTCAATGAATGGAGGCTCTGAGGCTCCCAAAATTTAGCAAGGATAAAGGCTGATAAGACTACACAGGTGGGGCGGAGGTTGTGACTCAAGTGGTAGAGCGCTTGCTTAGCATCGTGAGGCACTGGGTTTGTACTAAGTGTACTAAGCATGGGGTACACTCCTCATCACTGTTGAGAGCCACAGCCAAAGGGGCCCCAGCAAACTTCCAGCTGCCAGCAAACTTCTAGCTGCCAACTGATTGGCTCCTCTGCGGTGATGCTCATTGGGCTGTTTCCCCGCCCTTTCAGACTTCGGAGCTGCTCATTGGGGGACTTTTTTTTGGCTCTGCCCATGCGACCCAGCCAATCAGCCTCAAGAGCAGGAGGAGTGGGGGAGGTGGAGAGGCTTGTGGGAAGCTGGTGGTGGCAGTTGGGCTCTGAAGGTTTTTCCTGAGGAGCTGAGTGGTTTGGTGTGTGTGTTCTAAAAATAAAGTTCATTTCTTTTGACAAGTGGCTCCTGAATTGTGCCCAGCCAGATTGCGGCAATCACCACATAAAAAGAAAAGTAAAATAAAGGTATTGTGTCCATCTACAACAACAACAACAACAAAAAAAAAAACTACACAGGTCCAGCCGTGTACAGGTGGAGCACGCCTGTAATCCCAGCTGCTCGGGAGGCTGAGGCAGAAGGATGGCAAGTTCAAAGCCAGCCTCAGCAACAGCTAGGCGCTAAGCAACTCAGTGAGACCCTGTCTCTAAATAAAATATAAAATAGGTCTGGGGATGGGGCTCAGTGGCTCAGTTTCCCTGAGTTCAAATCCCTGGTACCAAAAAAAAAGAACAGAGGTGCAAAACCGTGTGGCCATTCACTTAAGGGAAAGAAGATAACTTTGGAGGCAGATCTTAGTGCCTGAAGGCCAGAGCTATAGCCCCATGTGAAGTTATATGGTCCGTAGGATCAGAGGAAAGAGTCTTATGCCACAGAAGATTATGGCCAGGCCTTGAAACCTAATGGAGTTTTACACAGTTCAGTTTTTAAATTGCTTGGATTGGAGATTCCTTTCTTCCCTCTACTTTCTCCCTTTTTGAATGGGAAAGTTAATGGCTATAAATGAGCCAAAGCATAAGAAAAAAAAAGCAGCTGGGCATGGTAGCACCTGCCTGTAATCTCAGTGACTTGGGAGGCTGAGACAGGAGGATCATAAGTTCAAGGCCAGCCTTCGAAACTTAGTGAGGCCCTAAGCAACCTAGTGAGACCCTGTCTCAAAATAAAAAATAAAAAGGACCGGGAGTGTGGCTCAGTAGATAAGTGACCCTGGGTTCAATCCCTGGTACCAAAAAATAAAAATCAAATAAAACAAAAATAAATTTAAAAAGCAGAAACACAAGATTAATGGAGAAGAAAATTAAAATGGAAGATTAAAAAAAAGAAGCAACATCTCTTGGTACCTTGGTGTTACCTAGGAAAGTCAAGAAAGACACATCTGGACTAAAACTAAGCATGGGGTACACTTCTCTATCAGCAATGTTTACCTGGCTCTGAGATGGGTATACATTTTTTTTTCAAACAGGATAAAATCATGACCCTCATAGAGACATGGAATGAGCATGTATTAAAAGAGAAAGATGGTGATGAAAGAGAATCCAGAAAAATAGACATAGGAATACTGATCAGGCATGTTTAATGTGTAGATACAGGAAACTAAGAGAAGGTTGTAAAAGCCCTCAAAGAGAATAAAAAGGCTAGAATCAGATAACCTGGAGTGGTATCCTATAAGCAGGGCAACATTTTCCACTGAAGCACACATTTATTTCTACAGTATTAAGAATTCCCTAAAAATCATTAGAATGACCAGGTTCCTGTGATACGCATTTCTAGCCTGAGGCCTCCTAAGGGCCTGGTGGGCAGCCATGACACTTTAAAGCCAAGGATGTCACAAAGACTGTGACTGACCAATGAGGGACAGGAATTGGGGATATAATGGGCAGGAATGAGTGCTGGTGTCTTCAGAGACCCAGCCCACCTGTTGAATCAAGCAGAGCTGACCCAAGCCAAACACAGAAACCATCATGTCAAGGAAAGAGAGCTCCCGTAGAAAGAGCCATCACACTGAAGACCTTGCTTCTAGACCTGAGATTCAGATACCTGTGAGCTACGTGTACCACCTTCTACGGGAAGAGCAATACACCCCATTTATATGTTCCTCAATGACCCATTTCTTACTCACCATGCTTGATCACCTTACTGACTACATCCTGGAGCTGGCAGGCTCCGAGGCCAGGACACCACAAACCACCCCTCAACGTGGGAAGAAAGAAGATCATAACTGTGAGCCCCCTCGTGTCTTCAACAATGTGTCCTTCTCTTTGTTCGATGAGATGCCTGGACCCAGGAGGAATGGCTGAAAAATGCGTTGAGGAGCCCAGCCTCAGAACCTCGGCTGGAGTCACGTCTCACAGCCGAGGAAGCCCCAATTTTGTCATCAACAAATGTTATTAAAGGATGTAAATCCATTTCAATGGTTCTGACTCGGTTTCTGTCATGTTGAGTTGGAGGGGTTTGTGAGGCACCCAGGAGGGGTTATCCCAAAGAGGGTTGGAGGGGTGGCAGTGAGGATCATTGTGGGGTGTTTGAACCAGTGATTTCAGGGGAGCAGTTTCTAATGGAGACAGGGCGGTCCCTGGAGGGGGGGAGCTGGCTGGGGTAGGAGGCAGAGAAGCTGTCCTTGTGGGCCCTGAACAAGGAGGACCCTGGGAGGCCAGGGGGTTGGCTGGGGCCTTCCCAGGCATGTGGGGTTCCCAGCAGGAAGCTGGTAACTGGGGAAGAGCTGAAAACCATGACTGAGGTGGGGAAGGCTTTCTTCACAGTAGAGAAAGTCTGAAGTCAGAAGGTGGCAGTGGTGGGAGTGGGGGGAGATGGTGGCACACCATTGGCATGAACTTAATGGGATGGGCTTAACATCATATGTTATTTATGTATCATCTCATTCTAAAAAATGACTTATGGTGTGGATTATTTGCTAGTGTAGTGAATATAATTTTCTCTCTCCTTTTATAGACATTGGCCTTGATATCTAAAACCTATGAGCTCACTTAAGCAGTTCTTAAGTGTTATTAATTATTAATGGACAGGCTTACTTATGAATGTATTACATTTATAATATGATCATCTATCCTAGTTTTGGATTAAAATCGTAATCATCAGAGTGATATTTGCTAGAAGAGGAAAGAAATATCAGTGGCCAAATACATGCTTTAAGAGGTTTAAGAATAACCTACGTAGCCAGGTACAGTGGCAAATGCCTGTAATCCCAGAGGCTCTGGAGGCTGAGGCAGGAGGATTGTGAGTTCGAAACCAGCCTGGGCAATTGGCAAGGCCCTAAGCAATGTTAACAAGACGCTGTCTCAAAACAGAAAAAGGGCTAGGGAATGACTCAGTGGTTAAGCGCCCCTGGGTTCAATCCCCAGTACCAAAAAAAGAAAAGGAATAAGCTCTGTAATTCTGTTCTGAGTAGTGGACACAGAAGTACATAATACTTTGTAAATTTCATGCTCTATACTAAGTTTTAAAGTTGTGGTGTCAATTTTAATAATCTATCCCATTGTCTGTGAGTGTTCATATTGAGGTTTTCACTGATCATCGGGTTCTCAAGAGACTGCTGGCCTTTCACAGAGGGCTGCTCAGAAGCTACCAAGTTCACTTCCCAAAAAGAATCAGGAGACCCAGATTTCAGATCCCCGTGCACCACTTTCTGGCCACATAATCTCGGACATTCATTTTTTCCTTCTGAGCAGCAGTTTGGTCATGTATGAGATGAGGCATAAGAGTCCCTCAATCTTCGGTTTTTCTAAATATTTCCACTCATTTGGGAGACAGTCATTCTGAGACCTTCTGGTACCATCCCAAAGTCTGATTACTTCATTCCTGTGGGTGTGTGCTCAAGGACAGATAGCTCTGCCTAGAGTGGGGAAGAATGGTACCCTGTTTCCCCTGAGATTAGGGAAGGGGAGAGACTAGGGTGGAGCAGAGACAGAGGAAGTAAAAGAAACATGTCCATTTTAAAAACAAGTGGTAGTGGCAGAGCAGCAAGGGCTATATTCGAAGCATAAAGTGGGTCACTGTTATATTTCCCCATTGTCAATTTCTACATTCCATTTCTATGGAAAAATGGGCGACAACATCTCTAAGCTGCTTCCTGCTAAAAGAAGGTGAAATTTGGGGAAGTAACCCAAAGTCCTTGCTGTCTATCAGGTGAGACAGGGACAGTTAAGGGTATTCAGCAACAGAGCAGTCCAGAGGTCCACAGTGGCAGATGGCAGGTGGACAAAGCATACATAGGGCAGGGATCACGCTAAGATAACAATAAACAGGACAGCAAAGCATTACTTTTTTGTAAACAATCAGCACAAAAGCAATTGGTATTTTGGCTAGTCTCTGGAAATTAGGAAGACAGTAACTCATAAGCATATTAGTGAAAAACTATCAATTTACCAATCAATATAGGAGATTAGGAAGATTTGTAGGTCTATGAGGTCAAGCTCAAATTAACTCAGGACAAATTTGAGGCTCTTGAGTTCTTTATGATCATTATTATTAGGCACTCCCACCATCTCTCCCACTGGAGAGCTCACCAGTGGTGTCCTCTCCACAAGCCCAAATCAAGGGAAAGCTTCCTCACCATCTTCACTCCCAATTTGCAGAATGCACAAAAGGCCTAAACTTGGTGGTCTCATGCCTTCCCAAGGGCTGATTCCTGCTCTGACCTCTTTTCTTCCTGAGAATAGGTTTCCTTGTACTTTTGGAAGGGGCATTTGGCAGGGTGCTAGATTAGGATGATGACTACTCTGTGCCATGTGCCATGTGGAGCTGCAGCTCACAGAGAACAAGTGAATTACAACTCCAGTAGAGAACACGTGAAAGATAGCCTTTGAATCCCTCTTTAAAAGCCCCCTGTTCCTGCTGATGGGCAGAATCACAGCCTCTGGGACAGAAAACCCCCGTGTTTCTCCTTTGCTAGCAAAGCAATAAACTTTTTTTCCTTTTTTCTCAAAATAATAATAGTAATAACAATAAAGTCCAAGCTTTTGCATGATCTAAAAATCTTAGAATTAAAAAAATCTTTAAAGTGACATACTATAAAACTTCTTTACTATGATTCAATTAATAAAACATGAATTTATATTTCTCATAATGTTTTATTTGTTTATTATGGTATTAGAGATTGAACCCAGGGACACGTTGCCACTGAGTTAGATCTCCAGTCCTTCTTATTTTTTTTTTGAGACAGAGATTCACTGAGTTTCACTAAATTGCTGGCCTTGTGATCTTTCTGCCTTTGCCACCAACTCAGGTTGCTGGGATTACAGATGTGCACCACCACACCAGCATCCCATAATCTTAAAGATCAAAAAGATGTAATGCCAATTAAATGATTAGCAGAAATTCATAATTTTGGAAAAACACACCTAAATAGCATAAAAATGTATGGTTTTTTTAGACCTAGTGCTGATAAATAAGAGCAGATATAGGTTTGTTTCATTAAACCTAAACTATCTTGTTTATCAAAGACTTACATAAATTATGTGCATTTGAATTTAGATGGTTGTGAGCTGGTTTCTGAGAGAATATATATTGTTTAAATCTATCAAGTTTAAAGTTATTATAGTTCAATTTTCTTATTAAAGTGAATTTTTGAAATATTTAATTTATATAACCAGTTATATATCTACATATGCAAATCAGAACAGAGCTTCATGAATTTGAGAAACTTAATAATCTGTCAAAACCATCCAGAGGTAGGAAAATTTAAAATACATAATCAGAGGTATCAAAATGCATAAATGCATTCTACTGTCATGTATAGCTAATTAAAACAAATAAAGACATTTAAAAATATATATTTCTGAATGGCAGAGACATGGAGGCACAGAGAAATAGAGTTTATAGCTTCAGCTCTGCAATTCAATCATGGGTCAAATGAAAAAAAGCAACAGCAAAATTTCCTGGTCCAGATACAAAAAAAAATTGTTGTCCCAGAGGGTATGCATTTCTTAATTGATCTGACCTTTAGATAGACAAATAGATAAATAACAAAACTGACAAACCAAATACACTGTGTGTCTCACCCAGCAAAGACTAGATTTCTATAACTCATTTACAGAGATCTCCAGATGGTCAGAACCTAAAACCAGATTTCCAACCATTTTGTCAATGAAGAGAATAACTTATTAGCCATTTGAGACCAAAAACTAGACATATAAAATGAGTAGGAAGGAAAATGAAACGAAAAATTCAACATTGAAATTATACCTAGAAAAAACAAAACTGACAGAGTTCTGTTGTGCTTTGGATATACCTAGAACAGGCAAGAAAAGACACTCTTGGGCCTTACTGAGCCTGAGGATACATCTCTGTTACTAAAGTTTCTAGGTGAATCTACTGGGAATATCAGTAGGCCTCAAATACAGTTTAAACGGTATTTTCAAACAGAGTAAAATCATGGTACTCGTGCAGATATGAAATGGAAATATTCTGAAAGACTCTTCTTAACTCACGAGGGAATTGACAGATATTATAAGCAGTTCAAAAAAGAATCCAAAAAACAGACATTGAAATGTTTGTCATGGGGGATAGAGCTCAGTTGGTAGAGTGCTTGCCTCACATGCCCAGGCCATGGGTTCAATTCCCAGCACAAAAAAAAAAAAAAAAAAAAAAAAAAAGAGTTCAGATGGAGAAATGTTTATCATGAATATTTAAGTAACTGTATAAATGGAGGCAAAATTGTTTTTATTACAACATGAGAGGGCAGATAGACCTCTCCCAGACAACATGTTCAACATGTCTATCAGTGACCCAGATTTCAAAAGGGATGGGAAAAAGAATAAAGACAAAGTAAGGCTAGAATAATCAGAAAACCTAGTATAGTGTGCTCTAGGTAGAGTAATGTTTTCAGTGAAACATGAATTTGTACTAGAATGTTAAAGCCCAATAGAAAGTTAGAATTCCCACAAGAAGAGAGTCCCCTAAGGCCACTAACTTCCTATTATGGGCATTTGTAGACCGAGGCCTGATCAGGGCCCAGTGGACACCAGTGATATCATAAAGTGTAGGGTGTCACAAAGGCAGGTTCTGACCAATGAGGGACTGGAACACACTGATATAGTGAGCAGGACTAAGCTTTGATGTTTGAAGAGGCCCCAGCCACTGGAGAAATCAAGCACAGCCTGTGGTAGCAGAAGCCATCAAGCATCATGGCTGGAAAAAAATACCATCAGAACTACAGGACTAAGAAGCAGACCATCTCCAGATGCACCATAACAGAGCTGCGGTTCCCTGTGACCTGTGTGGACCGCCTCCTGAGACAAGGTCACTATGCCCAGCATCTAAGCTTTTTTACACCCATTTTCCTGGCTGGTGTCCTTGAGTACCTAACAGCTAACATCCTGGATCTGGCAGCTCAGAAGGCCGAGAGCAACCGCAGGGCACACATCACCCCGGATCATGTGAAGAAGGTGCTGGAAAAGAACCCGCAGCTCTGCCGCCTCTTCAAGGCTAACACCAAATCCCTGGGAACTGACAAGGCCTACAAGAGTAAGAAGTAATGGTGCCTGGGTCTCCAGCCCTGGTGGGACTTCCATCAAATGTCTCACTCAGCTCCAAAATCCCATAGAGGAGGGAGCCTGTGCTGTTGTCATCATCATTAAAGCGTTTAAGTCAAAGCTTGTGGATGTGACTCCTCTCAGTTTCTGTCATGTTGAGTTGGAGGGGTTTGTGAGGCACCCAGGAGGGGTTATCCCAAAGAGGGTTGGAGGGGTGGCAGTGAGGATCATTGTGGGGTGTTTGAACCAGTGATTTCAGGGGAGCAGTTTCTAATGGAGACAGGGCGGTCCCTGGAGGGGGGGAGCTGGCTGGGGTAGGAGGCAGAGAAGCTGTCCTTGTGGGCCCTGAACAAGGAGGACCCTGGGAGGCCAGGGGGTTGGCTGGGGCCTTCCCAGGCATGTGGGGTTCCCAGCAGGAAGCTGGTAACTGGGGAAGAGCTGAAAACCATGACTGAGGTGGGGAAGGCTTTCTTCACAGTAGAGAAAGTCTGAAGTCAGAAGGTGGCAGTGGTGGGAGTGGGGGGAGAATGTGGCACACCATTGACATGAACTTAATAGGATGGGGTGTTCACACAAAGATGGAGGAGGGATGGAGAAACCACAAGGAAATGTCTGAAACAGGAATGATGAGGATGCTAATTCATTTATTCTTTATTCATATTCTTACACTCTGCCTCATTTTAAAAGAGGGCTTATGCAGTGGCAGGCCATGCTCTGGTTTCCTCTGTGCTCCCTGTGCCTGGTGCAGACTCACCCTTCCTGCCTCTGTGGAAGCAGAAGCACTTGGCTTGGCCTTTGGCTAATTCCCAGGAGCAGCCTGAAGATGGAGACAGTGTCAGGGTTGTGCTTAGGGCTCCTTGGACGCTGTGCATGTAGAAACCCAAGAAGCCTTTCTTGTCACATAATTCCTGCAGGTCCTCACACTTACAGCAACCTCATGGTCAGGACATCCACCCCACAAAGCTGTGATTCCACGTAGAGCCATGAAGCACTCCTTGGCCAAGTTCATCTCTTCCTGCACTGCTCATGCAAGTAGCAAGCAGGCCTCTCCCCAGCGACTGCAGGTGGGAGGGTCCCCTTCAGCTGATCACATGGTAGGGACACCATTGCCCCTCTCTTCCCTGCAGTGAAACATCTCAGTGTCCAGGGCCTGGGTTTCTCCTAGTCCTGTGTCCTTTTGTGGAGAATGAGTGCCTCTAAGATGGGCAATGTCAGGGAGTAGTCTGAGTCACACTCTGGTGTGTGAGGTGGCACTTGGAGTTTAAACCTGAATGAGCCCTTGCTGGTGGGCCCTCTACAGAGTCAAGGGGCTTAGAAGATCAGCAGTGACACTACTGTCCCTTTATATATTATGTTCAGTTGTGTTTGTGGTGTTCACAGGAAACATGGGGACTCTGACCAGCATGGCAGCATGCTAATCATCATGCCAAATGCCCCTTCCACGTGTGCAAAGAAATGTATACTCGGGAAGAAAAGGGGTGCAGTGAGAACTACTGCCCTTGAGAAGGCATGAGACCACCCAGGTTTAAGCCTCTTGTGCCTTTTTGAACAATGGGTGGGTGATGTGAGGAAACCTTCCCTGTAGCTCGGATCCTGTGGAGAGAGAATGCTAAAACCTGACCGAAGAGAGGCTACCAGTCAGGTCTGTGGTCACGTCACTGTCAGGACCTGCCAGGGTCTGACACAGGCCAACACAGCAGAAATTATCATCCGTGACAATGGATGAGCCCAAGAGTCAAGTCTTGAGGGGAATTTAGAATAATATTGCCATTGCCTGGGGAAATGATGCCTTTTGAAGCCCCAGGTCCCCTTACCACCGTGACAGATCCTGAAGGATATGACCAGAATCTGACAGTCTGAAACTTTGAAAAGGGCCTCTCTTACTCCCAAAAGATGATTCTAAAAAGAGCAATCCTTCTACTGAATTCCAATATACTGTTATGTAATTCACAAAGTGCCCAGGTCACATTCCTATTCAGCTTCATCAGGAATACAGTGTTATTTTAGAAAGAAAATTAATTGGCTATCCACATTTAAAAATCAACATGTTTTTGGCCAGGGATGTAGCACAGTGGTAATATGCTCGCTTGGTAAGAGTGAGGCCCTGGATTTGATCTTCACCACTGCAAAAAAATTAATAAAAATTAAAATAACAAACTGAATAAATAAAAATCTAAAAATAATTTAAAGATCTAAATTTAAAAACGCTAAAAAAATCAAACAAAATCAAAAATCTCAATTTGAAAATCTTAATTTGTGACTTCTCTTGGGAAATCACAGGGCCTGGGCATGTACATGGCTCACATCAGACAGAAATGATTAGCTGCTGCCCCATTAAAACTATCCTCTGTTGGTTGTAGCCCATACCCTTCCCTCTTGTATCCCATTGTTAACTCTGCTTATTTATAGTACCTGCACAGCTCCAAATACTACTTGAATTCATTATTCCTGCTGGAAGTTAAATCTAAAGCCATGATGTTCAGAAATATTCTTATTTAACCAATTAATAAAGTTACATTCTCCTCAAACTGTCTCTGATATAAGACTGGTATTTTCTGTGTTTCTCGTTCTATCCAATTGTTGACAGATATGTGATCCTATTGTGCATGACTAATATAAAGGACATCTTTGAATCATCACTAGAGTTCAACAGCACCCAGACTGGTGTACATTCTCCCCAACAAGAAGATTCCACTTACTTAAATATGTGACAATCTCAGATTTCTATAAAGTTTCCTAAATGGTGTTGCTCAATTCCCATACTTGTTGGAGTCAATCTTACTTGTTGTTGATGCTCGTTCCTGTAGTGTATCCTGAGAAAAATGCTTTGAGATAGAATGTGTTAAATGTTCCCCTTTGGGAAAAAAGAATTCAAGTCTTCAATACTGAGGTATTAGTATTTCTCAGATTTCTGCCTTTTTTTTTTTTTCTTTTTTTGGTACCTGGGATGGAACCCAACGGTGCTGTACCACTGAGATACATTCCCAACCTTTTATATACATGTATATTCAGTTGTAGATGGACACAACACTTTTTATTTTATTTGTTTTTATTTATTTATTTTATGTGATGCTGGGGGTCGAACCCAGTGCCTCACATATGCTAGGCAAACGCTGTATCACTGAGCCACAACCCGGCCATTCCCAGCCCTTTTCATCTTTTGAGATAGGGTCTTGCTAAATTGCCGAGACTGGCCTCAAACTTTTGATCCTCCTGCCTCAACCTCTGAACTTTTGTATACTGCTTTTGTGACCGTGGACAAATCCTGAAATTATTTTTCATAACATTGGAATATTCAATTTACTTTCTTGTACTGTTTTAGGACTGTGATTTTAAATAGAACAAAAGTCAGTGAATAGGGTCTGCATTTAATATTCTTTTAGTGTTTGTCCTTTGAAGTCCTTCAAGGAAGTAAAAGATTGGTTTCTCTTAATATTCTAGAATAACTGGGGGTGAAATGTCTCTAAACTTCTTCTGTTAAAGCAAAATGTACCAAAGAAGGCAGGTTTGATATTGTGATTGTGAGATATTTGAGTTCTAAAATGTAGGATGAAAGGAATCTACCAACTCAACTCTAGGCGGGGCGGTCTTCATGACAGGAAGAGTCAAAATAGTGAAAGGAGAGGGAGAATACTACGCTCTGTTCTTGCAGTCTGATTTACCTGGGTTTCCATCAGCCTTCCAGGTTTTAAAATGAGGTTGAAAAGTATTTCAAAGATCTACTCAAGATATACGATTTGCCATGTTAAGCTTCTCAGTTAAGCTTTCTGGAAATTCTAACTATCCACTGACATGGTCGTAAAGGTGGTTATATGATAACATGAGAAGCTTGTGTTCAAGAGTCTATTCTCTGAAGTACTTGAGGTCCTGTCCTTTTTCTTGAATTCTGAGACTGGACTTTTTTGAAGACATTTTTTTTTTTGGTACTGGGAATTGAACTCAAGAGCACTCAACCACTGAGCCACATCCCCAGCCCTATTTTGTATTTTATCTAGAGTCAGGGTCTTGCTGAGTTGCTTAACACCTCATTTTTGCTGAAGCTGTTTAATTCGTGATCCTCCTGCCTCAGCCTCCTGAGCTGCTGGAATTACAGGTGTGCACCACTGCACCTGGCTGAAGACAAATTTTTTGAAGACAAAATTTCTGTCTTGCAGCTGATTGTAGGATTTCAGGGAAGCATCAATGTATATCAAAAACTCTCTGGAGTTGACAGAAGTGTAAAATGCTTGTGGTGCACTTATTCCAGGTAAAATAATATTTAATTGCCACAAGTAAAAATTCTGTGGGATAACAACAATAATAATATAACTGAAGAATATAAGGAGAAAAGGAGAAGAATATAAAGCCACAAAGAGTTTTTGTCAAAGTATCTATAAACAAAATGATTTAGCCTATTTTCTGTTAAGTATGGATGAGTGCTAAGCCTCTGTATTTGAATGAGCCTCCAGAGATAAATTTGATATGCTTCTTTAGTTGAAAAGTAATGACCTAGAAAATGCTAGATGCAAACTAAAATAGTCAGATTGCAACCAAACATTTAGAAATAAAAACTGAAATTATGCTTTATAACACTATAGTGTTATTGAATAATATGAGGGAAAGTCCTTCCAGGACTCTGATAAATAAAAACATAAAATTGACAGTGAGATTCTAACACTTATATAGATTCTTCCCTTACAAGACAGACTTTCTAAAATATTTCTGTTAATAATATTTTCCCTCCCCTAATTTTAACATAACACAATGTTTACACATATCAAGTAGCACATTGTACCCCAGGAATATGTACAATTGGTATGTGTCAACCATAAATAAGGTAAATTTAAAAAAAATTTAACACAATGCAGACTGATAACCTCTTTGGATTAGAAATTTTTTTTTCCTTGTACAACTCAGAAGTATCATCATCAATGGACAGTAAATTTTTGTTATTTTACAAGGACTGATGGGAAATTTTAAAAGATGTCTTGAGTGAAAAATATATTTCAATGCATTATTTTATT